AGAGATCTAAGTTCTTTAAACTTTTAGCCTTTTCCTCTAAACTTATTGCTTCTAGAACTTCTTTCTTATTTGACAAGAACTTGTGCAATTTGAAGCCACCCTTCGAACATAATGCTTTACTATTCCTGATTAAAGCTATGGCTTCTGCAGTTGTAGGTAAAGATGTTAACCCATCATCTACATAAAATTCATTTTTAACAAAGGAGGCGGCTTCTGTTCCACATTGCCATGCATAATCATCAGCAGTGGCTTTCAGTGCAAAACTTGCTACACTTGGAGAAGATGTAGCCCCAAATAAGTGCACTGTCATTCTATATTCTTTGACAGTTGAATCAGGATTTCCATTTTCCCACCACAGAAAGCGTAGTAGGTCTCTGTGATCAGGCTTTACCTTTACTTGGTGGAACATTGCTTCTATATCACATGCAATTGCTACATGTTCCTTTCTGAATCTGCACAATACGCCAATCAAGTTATTTGTCAGATCCGGACCTTGTAAAAGATTCTTATTAAGTGATTCATTCTTATACACAGCACTGCAATCGAATACTACCCTAATTTTGTCAGGTTTCTTTGGATGATACACACCATGATGTGGTATATACCATACTCTTCCATCATTGAAATTTGGACCCTGGTATGGTGCCTCTTCTGGATAGCCTTTGTCTATGAGATCTTTCATAAAGGCAACATAGTCCTGTAGAAAACCATTCTTTTGCTTTAGCTTCCTCTTTAGACTCATCAACCTACACATTGCTAATTCTTTACTATTTGGAAACTTGACCTTATGATCTTTAAGAGGGAGTGGCAATTCATAATGCCCATCTTTTAGTTGATGAATTCCATCTTTCATTTTTCTTAAGAAAATCTTGTCTTGATACGAAAAAGGAACATTTCCTGTCTCCCTTTCACTGAAATCAAGCTCAAACAATTTTCGAACTTGTGCAAAATCAATTATTTCCTTTACTTTAGTTGGTGAAGAAAGAAAGCTACATTTTGTGTCACCATTAATGATAACCTTATTGACTATTACTTTGCTGGCTAGAACTGAATCTGAGTCACTTGTGTCTTGACAATCACCATTGACTCTCCCTATTATACGCCAACCAAGCAAAGTTCTCCTTGCATAAGGCTCGTCATCTTTCCCAGGAATTAACTCTCTTGGTTTGATGGCACGGATACAATTTAAGCCAATCAGGAGCCCAACTTCAACACTTCTATCGTATGGCATCAATTCGTTTGCTACTCTCTGTAAATGAGGCCACCCTTCTACACTTTCTGGCCTTGGAATTTGATCATGTCTGGCTGGTATATTCTTCCTTGAATAAGTGACTGGAAGTGCAATCTCTATCTTTTCATTTTTACCACATACTATTAGTCCTCTAGTCTTTGTACTTTCAATTGTTTCTTCGCCTGTCACTGTTGTTAACTTTAGGTGTACCTTGGAGCCTAGAATGTTTAGCTCATTCATGGTGGATTCTTTAATAAAACATGCATCTGACTGTTCATCCAATAATGCATAAACCAATACCTTTTTACGTATGTTACTTTCATGATGTATCCATACTGGTATTATCATGGAATGCATCTTATCCTCTGACTTTCTCAATATCTTTATTTTATTGGAAACTTCATTTGACAATGTAACTGTTTTTCCAGCCTCTTGTTCCTTATACATTTTGAGTAAGGCTTCCCTTTCTTTTATTCTTTCAAGTATAGCCTCATGAAGAGATGTTGGATGACGTCTCTTACATACTGTGCATATATTTTCTTTTGCAGTTTTTAACAATATGGCCATGTTTTAAACAACCCCTACAAAGAAATGATTTTTGGACATATTCAAATTTTGCCTTATTATCAAGTCCATTAAACCCTTTACATTTATCAAGTTCATGATCAGCCTTGCAAAAATTACAATATGGTTTGTCTGGACTTTGTCCCATGTCATCTCTATGTACCTTTGTTTCTTTTACACCTGTTGAGTTAGTCACAAACCTTTTTGGCCCAGACTTGTTTAATTCTGGTTTACCCTTCTTACTACTCATTGAAACATTGATATTATGACTCTGATTCCTTGTCATTACTGCACTTTGTGATGAGATTGGATGGCGAGCTTTCTTTGCCTCCACTTCTATAAATTCACAAAAAACTGAAAATGGAGGGTAACCTGCATCACTTGCGGACCATTTGTAAACTATAGAATTCCATCTATCTATAAGAGCTGGATATAACTTCTGTAACATTTTACCATTTTCTTGAGGATCATTTAAAATATTAAGGTAGTCTGTTGTTCTCATTACTGTTAAGCAATTCTTTAAGAAGTCTGACTATTCCTGTAGTGCATGACCATCCTTATTTGAAATCTTTGGCCATTCATTTAATTTACTTCTAAAAGCATTTGCCACAATAAACTTATTTCCAAACCTATCCATTAATATACCTTTAGCCTCAAGATAAGTTTCTTCTTTGGGGATACGAAGAAGTCCTTTAATGGCAGCCTTAGCTTCCCCACTTGTATAGTGACCTAGATAGAAAAGTTTCTCTGCATGTTCTGTAACTCTTGATTCTATAAAAATCTCAAAGGTTTGAAGCCAGGTTGGAAACTCCAATAAATCTCCACTGAAAATTTCTGGTTCTAGTTTAGGCAATTCACTTTTACTTTTAGATGATAAAATATTTAATACATCTTTGAGTACATTAAGGTCTATAGGTTGACTTGATCTACCTTGCCCAAATGATGCATTCAAATCTTAAAACTCTCTTTTGGCTCAAAACTCTTTGCTTGTAGCTTAAGCTCTGGACTTGCTTTTAAGAAGGTATTCTCTAATTTAGACACCTCTATCTCTAATTCACCCATACCTGATACATCATTAGCAGCTATTTCTTGTTTTGGTAAAGTAGGATTTACTTTCTCAATCTCTGTCACTTTATCAATAGATTCAAAATATTTGTGAAGATGAAGTTCTTTACTATCATCTAGATCTTTACTTTGAGACAATTCTAGCTGATTTTCTTCTAGACTGGCTTTCTCTACTTCTTTTTGAGATGGAAACCTATTTCTCATAAAAAGAAACTTTTTGTACTCATATTCTTTTTCTTTCATGATCCTCTGTTGATTTATCACGAA